CTGGCATAAGTCAATAAACGTTCACCAGCCCAGGTTTCTTCTTGCCCCTTTGTAATCCCCCCCCCCTTATCTCCAGTGGTGCTGTCATGAGAGATGGGCTTGCATGCTCCAAAACTACATATGAATGGGACCATACAGATGCACTCTTTTTATTTGGTTTCTCTTAATCAGCATCATGATTTGTGGTTCATTCACACTGCTGCACAAGCAAGGGGACGGGTGTGTTTCGTGGCTTGAGGGCTCCGTCAGCTCCTGGCCCCGTTCCCTGCCACACTTCTGCCACAGAGAAAGACCCCAGGCACAGTCGCAGGTGCTTGAGGCAAGAAGCTGAAGGTCTGGTGGGTACTGGGGAGGCGCCGGGCCACACAGCATCGAGTGTCTGCGACCGAGCTGCAAATCAGCTGTGACGGTCACAAGAGGAAAGTGTCATTTCAAGTGGCAGAACATAGAACTTTGGAGTTTACAGTTTCAGTGAACTTTAAGGATAAATGGGTCCACTAAGAAACCCTGTGCTTCATCAGCAATCTCCCTGCTAGTGGGAATATTGGTGTTCACACTTTGAAATTGTGTAGTAGTAAACTAGTTAAAGCCAGTAACTAGTTATGTTAATGCTAAAACAGATTTTTTCTGAGAAAGAGAAATAAGAGGTAATCCTGCAATACTAAGTTAGGAATAGAAATGTAAGTGTAAATTCTTTTTTTTGTTCTTTTTAAATCATTTTTAAAAGATTTTATTTATATATTTGAGAAAAAGAGATCATGAGTGGAGGGAGGGAGGGGCAGAGGGAGAGGGAGAAGCAGACTCCCCACCAAGCAGGGGCTTGGCCCCAGAACCCTGAGATCGTGACCTGAGCGAAAGCAGATGACCGACCAACTAAGCCACCCAGAGGCACCCCTTTGTTCTTTTTTAAGGTTTATTCATTTATTTGTCAGCACTAGCAGGAGGAATAGCTAGGAGAGGGAGAAGCAGATTCCCCGCTGAGCTGGGAGCTTGACTTGGGGCTCTAGCCAAGGACCCTGGGATCATGACCTGAGCCAAAGGCAGAGACTTAACCACACTTAACCGACTGAGCCTCCCAAGCACCCCATTTCTTTGCTCTTTAGGGGAGACACACACACACACACACACACATTTCCCAGCTCTGTCCCAATACCAGTGGGTTCTAAGCACCTGGATTGTGGTGTCTGCTTGCCACTCCCCTCTCCCCCCAGCCCTGATAGCCATGGATTCACTCTATTAAAAACATCAGTGGGGCGCCTGGGTGGCTCAGTGGGTTAAGCCGCTGCCTTCGGCTCGGGTCATGATCTCAGGGTCCTGGGATCGAGCCCCGCATAGGGGTCTCTGCTCAGCAGGGAGCCTGCTTCCCTCTCTCTCTCTGCCTGCCTCTCTACTTGTGATCTCTCTCTGTCAAATAAATAAATAAAATCTTTAAAAAAAAATCAGTATGTTAATTTATAATGATAGTTTAAAACTCAGCCAACACTGAGCAAAAACATAGGCAGTCATTCTTGGAAGTAACGAGGGCACTAACTACTAACATTGAAAATGCATAATTAAAGGAGAATAAAATGGTTAGCCTTCCTTTTATCCAGAAATTGTCATTCAGGGTAACTTCATTGATTGGAAGAAGTTTCACAGAGGAATCCCTTCAGATAAATGAGTAAGGAATGACAGAATTTAAAGACCCCCTTTTTGCTCTCCCTAAGGTTGTTCCGGAACTTGCATACGGATCAGCGTCACCTGGAGGGATTGTTGAATAATTCCTGACCCCACCCAGGACTTCTGGTTCAGTAGGTCCTGGGCTGGTTCTGAGAATCTGCATTTGTAGTATGTTCAGGGACCACAGTTTGAAAACCACCTGCATGGGATGCTGTGGTTCAACAAACATGAAGGAGAGGATTTTCAGAAGAAAATAATGGGTGGAAAGATGACAACCTCAGACCTCCATCCGAACCAGCAGATGAAACAAAGCTTGGCCAAAGAATTTTACAGAAGCGGAAGTATAAATATGGGCATTAGAGCATCATTTAAGTGTTAGGACAATGAATGAAAGGCTGGCAAAGGCAGGGATGTGAAGCATGACAAGACGACAGAAGGGCTGATTGGTTTCAAAGAAGTAATTGAGGGCAGTGGCCTCCTTCCATCTGCTACTTCTCAACCAAAAATCAACCTGCAGACCATTTTCATGAACATGCTGAAACCAAGAAAACCACCGGGGAGTAGGTGGTCTGGAAATGCAAGTTTCTATGGGACAGCATATTTCATACTGGAAATTTTTATACAATGTGTGTTCAAGGTTTCTAAGAGAACCCATGTACTAGAGTAATTGACAGACCAGGTATTTTTTTTTTTAATGTGCATCAAGGTTACTGACCAGAGAAATGTGGATAATTTTTAATATGGACCAAAAGAACCAGAAAAGATACAGTACAATACTCTTAAAACAGTCCATGGCATTAGCCATAACCACATAGCTATTCACGGTCACTAAAATTACATAAAACTCAAGACCACATTCCCCAGTCCTCTTGATCCGTTTCATGTGCTCGGTAGCACACGTGGCGCACGGCTCTCACACTGGACAGTGGAGCAGCTGCATCGTTGTAGAAATTTGGTTGGCTGACACCAGTGAAGACCCTCGCTGGTACCCTATTAAGCAGCACATAGGATAAGTTAGGCACCTCTAATAGGACACCTGAGTTAAGTAAAAAGTGGCAAGTCATTCTCTTTCCTCTGAAGTCTGACAAAACAATGCTTGGAAAGGAGGGGAAGGCCTGGGCACAGTTGGGTCTGTCTCCCAGATTTCTGCACCGGAGTGTGTAAGAGGGAAAGTGACAGTGAAGGTGTCTAGCATGTAAGTGTCCCAGGGCAAGCCATTGGTGGTCCTGATGACAAGGCACAAGTAACGAATCAAAGTGGCTTCAGAGGGAAAGCTGTTAGTGTGGATACATACAAGATGTGTGTGTGTGGACACATAACTTCCTTGGTCATCCATTTGACGATTATTGAAGGTTTACCAAATGCCAAAGACGTGAGATGAACAAGAGGGTGGACTGTCAAGTGCGGGGATACCAGCGCCCAGGAAGAGCCAACGTCTAGAAAAATCCTAAGGATAATAAAAGGCATTTTCCGCCTGGCCCGACACTAGACACATCACGTGCTAATATTCACGGGAGGAAGAGCGCGGTGTTGTCGTTGCGTCTCCCCGCCATGCGCGCGCCATCTGCTTGGAACGCTGACGACAGACCTGGGGAGAGGGAGCTGAGTCCCAAGGCAGGCGAGGGGACAGCGGCCAGTACCGGAGTCCGCAGAACTCGGCAGGGCACGATCTGCCTCTTTCCGATGGAAGCAGGCGGTCTCCCCGGAGGCCGTCCAGGCGACAGGCCTCCAGCAACACCCTCCCCTCCCCTCCCCTAGCAGCGGCTCGGGGCCGGCCTCCAAGGCTCAGTCCTGCCCTAACGGCGAGGCGCAGGAGCTGGGACCTACCCGCCGCGCTCCCTCCGGACGCCCCCAGCCACAGGCGCGTCAGAAATGAGGGCCGAGGGGGAGGGAGGGACGGCCCGGGCCCGAGTTTCCGACGGAGCCTTCCGGACGGTCCGTACATCTGCAGACAGACGCTGCCGGGGAGGAGCAGGACCTTCTTCAACCCTTGTTTCCCGGCGACACTCTTCCTTCGAGGAGCCGGAAGGGAAGGGCAGCACAGGTCGGCCTGGGCTGGCACATCCTGGCCCGTGTGGCCTCGGGCGCCCGGCTCGCCCACCAGGAAGGCGTGACCTCTGCAGCCGGCCGTGAGCCGGGCCTGAGACCGCGCGCGGTCACCCGCGCGCAGGGTGCGGATGCTCCTCGCGGGCACGCCCGGCGCCACAAGCCGGCAGCTGCTCCTGCTCCG